ACCCTTGGTTTACGAATTGAATTCGTTCCAAGAGACAGTTCGTATACTAAAAATTCGTAAACCGGAACTAATTTTCCCGTAAGAAATAAGGTAAATTTAATTAATCGGTTCCACACATCCAAAAATATTAACTTTAAAATAAATTTTATAGAAAATACTACTCATATTTTTTACTATACAGGTACCTTATCTTTATTGAGGACTCTTGTTGACGTATGGAAGACAGTGAGTTGAGTAGGAGAGGTGTTATTATTTGGAAGGGGAGTCCCCTTCCATTATGACATCAGGCACTGATGACATTTCTGGGGTACTCTCTCTCCTACGTTTTGCAGGCATACCACTAGGACCTACTTGTGGCTCACTGCTTGTTTGTCTCACTAAGAATCTGTCTAAAGACACTTGTTTTTCCCTACGTTTTAACACGTCTATCGTGAGACATCACATTGTCATTTAAATGGTCAATGCAACGGCCTGCTACAGGTTTATCTGGGCGAGTTTTTTCAGCAAAACAGTGCAGTTCTTCAAATACTGCAAACATTTTCTTAATGAGGAAGGGACATCCTCGACTGCCTCTAACAACTATTTTCTTAGGTTCAACTTTACCACTGACTTTCTTGGGATCCATGGCATGATATATAATAAGAACTTTTATGTTCAGAAACCAAAAAAGTAGAAAAACAATTTTATTCTTCACAAAGAATTCAATCACGGTCATCACTAGGCAGGATACACTGGTAAACTGAGGGTGCCTCGCCCCATGCCCAGCACAACCCACAAGCTCATCGACCCATACATGTATTAACAAACTCTTAAACCGAGGCAAACATAGTACAGTACACAGAGTCACATTTTCTGAGGAATTTGACCTCGTATACCGAAAAATTCATAAAGAGGGCCATTCAAAAACCGAGGTTCCACTGTACTTGCTGCACTACGATATGTCCCTGTGAAAGAAAATAAGGCAATGTTGATTCGTGTGTATTGCTGGTGAGAGTACACATTTACTTTTTTATATTTACTGCTAGGAAGTGACAAATAAGCACTAATATTCAAGTAGGTGTTTTATTGAGGTACAAGTGATAAAGGGTCATTATGGGATGATGTGTAGCACATCACAATGTGTAGCACAAATTCACATAGGCCTACCTTTGTGAATTTGTGACACCTCTTGCACTATGCGAGGAGCTACTGTAGATAAAGTACTTTCTTGCTTCAATGGAACCGATTCAACCATAGAACAAATGGAACTTTAGAACTGCAATCAAAATTATGTACACTTCTCTCTGTTATCCAGATTAGATATCAGAATAAACAAAGGAAATCTGGATAATTAGGATTGTGATCCCAATTAATAAAATGTTTATTAAAAATTTAAGTATATATTTTAGCACCAAATTTTGTGCAAATATATACTGTATATGATTTGTGGAAGTAAAATCAATTTGTGGAGCACAAATAAGAGTAACTAAATAACTATCCAAAGGAAGGCTCTGGTTGTAAATGATCTAGATAATACAATACCTGTATAGTTATAGTGGCTGACAACCTAAGTAATTGTGGATTGTTATAATGAAAATACTGTATAGACTACTACATTTTTCTGTTATGAGGCACAGTCTATTATATAATAATTTCTGTTATGAGGCACAGTCTATTATATAATAATTTCTCTTACTACACATCCTACATTATATACTCTTAAAATTAGCTTCAAGAAAAATTTATTTGTAACAGTACTCTCCAAAACCCAAAGCATAACCATTTTACTCTCTAGCCACAAAACTGAAAACTTTTTGAAAAATTATGTTAAATCAACACCAAATGAAGAATGCTCGAGGAAAATGCAATTCTAATAAGGCATTAAAAACACTAATTATTAATGCTTGAGAACATTTGCTACCAACAACAAAAACAATGAAATAAAAAAAAATTTAATTCCATGTTCCAAACACAATACCTTGGTTGTATTGTACCAGTCCGGTTCAAGACAATGTCCAAATGGATTTGAGAAGATGCCAATGTGGATCTGAGAATACAGCCAAGCAAGAACTTGAAAAAATAATAGATAATTCTATCAAACAAAATATATACAAATAAATTAGTTGTATATGACAAACCTATACTGTACACACATCACTTTGTGGTATTTTTATCCCCTACATCCAAGATAATTTAAGTACAGTATTGTAGTGTATTTTTTAAATATACAGTACTGTATATTCAAGCTGCGGTACTGTATTTATAATTTTTGAACTGGTAATAATTTGAGTTTTGCATTAATAACCTATACCTTAAATTAAATAGTTTAAATTTAAATTTTGTTTAGCATTAAAGCACTAGAGTATAATACAGTACGTACTGTATTTGTCTAATGAAATAACAAGCATTAACACACCTTTAATCTTGAAATCAAGAATTTTTGTCTGCAATAATTCTTATTAACATCTCGCTAGCTATCTTTCAGCAAAGATGAAAATTAATAAAATATGTTGTGCAGCTGCTCTTTACCAAATAACTTTGCCGAGTGCTATAATTCACTTTTTTCACGCGGTAGGTCATTGGGTTCTACACACACACAGGCACTGCGTTGAGCGTCTTTGTAAGATGTACATCCAAGTGCCATTGTTGCTGTATAGAGCAACTTCGCCCCACCTTGGCATTTTTTAAACATCAATATGTCCATCTTATCCTTGCTGACCTCACATGTGCTATACAGACACCTTCTGAACGTTCGGTCACAATTTTCTTTGTTGCTGCCACACGTGTCATAGCAGATGTCATGATCATTGCAACAGTCAACCATTTCTGGCCTTGACAGATCATCTTTTTCAAAAAAGACCCCAAGGGAGCCACATCCGTTAGCCTCAGGTCTGTGGTTAGGATTATGAACTGGAATTTTTTTCCCCTTGCATTTGTAATAGCACTCTTCTTCTACAGTCGAATCGATGAAGTCCTCGACAAATTTTATTGTCTGTGCGACAGTCTTAAGGCCTTTATTCACAGCGATGGCGACCTCCTTCAAAGTGTTCTTGGCATTAAGCATGTTCTCGTAGAGGGAATCAAAGTAACCATCTTCACCTCCAACTTTCGCCAGGGCTGCCACCAACACACTCAGCCCTAACAATCCTGTCAGCTTCATTTTCACTCCGGCAGAGACTGGAAACAAAATTGGCGAGTTTCTTCACAACTGCTGATTAAATACATCTTAAGAGAGTATCACTGCCACATGCCTTAAATGACGCAATACAAAATTCCCAAAATATCATCTATTTCAGAGTAAATGCCCAACCAACTATGACCCTGCAGAAAAATATCTGGTCGGTAGGGCTGCTCCTCCTTTAGATTGCAGGTTGCCTTCCTTACAGAAAGTTTTGTTTGTTCACGACCTCTCGATAATAGTTCCCTTCGCTAGTTCCAGCTGCTTATTTTTCACGACAAAAACTATATATCTCTAGGATAGTTATCAATTATAAGTGAAATAGCTTTTATTTCAGAGTAAATGACTTCCACCACGACTCAGGAGCAAGGCGTTGGGGTGGATAAACCAGCTCTAAAAATAAAAGTTTTTCCCGTGTGAGTTCAAAACTGGCGTGTTATTGCCAGTTGTTGACACAATCAGCTGACTATAGACGCCACAACCCGCCTCGTACACGTGGCCTTTAAACTGCATATTGTTGACATTAATTATTACGAAGGCTTATAAGAAGTTTATAATTTACAATATTGAATAAAAATCCATTAATCCTAAAATTTAAACAATGCAATATATTACTATGCATTTCGTCAATATATAATATATCTAATTTTTTACTCCCAAAACAGTTGAATATTAGGTAATGAACTCTAGTTTGTTTACATTCTGAAGTTTCACGAACTTATTGCTCGTGCGTTACATGCAGACGCTGGGTTCTTCCTTTTTCATGCAAACTGCACCTACTATCAAGAAGAGGGGTTCTTCCTCAAACAAGAACAATTATCTACATGAAGATCTTATGAAGAAGAATGGATGAAATAAACCCTACGCGTTGACTTCTCATTTATATGATTGCGAGGAAGCTAGAAAAAGATCATTGGAGAGCAATTGTATGAAAACATCTCTCGAAGGTATGTTCTAGGGATGTACCTTCTTGATGGTATATACCTAAATATTGTACTAAAAATTATTGTTTAGGTTTGTTTGTCTAACGAAGCAATGAGTAGTTTGATGGTAAAACCATGAACATGCACTTCTTATAATTGGCGGTATTACGTATTTATGAAGGACAATTCTTCACTTGGATACTATGAAGGGCCGAAAGTTTTTACTTTGAAGCCAGTATTATCAGTGGCCTCTTTGAGAACAGGAAACTGGCAGCTTGTAAAAGGTTCGCCCATTGTTCCCAAGGAAGTTTTTCTAACTGAAATTTAAATTTAAGTAATGTTTTGGCATTTATGGCTCTGGCGAGTAGGAGATTCAATGGGATTATTACCCAAGGTTGAAAAGCATCTCCTGTTTTCTGTCCTATGTTGTGGTTTGTTGAGCTTTAAGTTATTGTACCTTATATGGGTTAAAGTTGATCTTTTGATGAAATGGTCTGGATTAATATTTCCCAATTTGTTCATTATTTTAAAGGTTTTAATGAGGTCAGAACTCTCTGACCTCATTAAACCTCATTAAACCATTATTAAACCTCATTAAACCTCTCTGACCATCATCTGTTTTTTTTTTTTTTTTTTTTTTTTTTTTACTACAGCAGCTCCTGCAGTATTAACAAACTGACCAAAACAGACTGCTGCTGCAGTATAAACATACTGCTTACATTCTTACTTCCTGTACAAACAAATTAAACAAAACCAGACATAATCTTACCTTACCTAACAAAAATGAATAAATATGATATATTTACTCATTAAAATGTTGTGCTGAATGTAGAACATGAAAAAATCATATTTCTTGGGGAGCCCCTTTGGCTCCCTGGAGCTTATCCAGGCTGTATGCTTTGGCATCAGTCATGTGTATGGAGTTCTATGGGTCTACTGGGGACCATGAGCCAGAACCTGGCCCTCTCAGAGGCATGGGGAACAATGGCCTATAGAAACCCTGCATGTGGTTGGAAGCATTCTATGTCTGCCATCGACCGGGTCAGGCACCCAGAAAGGTAAGCGCCCCAAAACAAACCCCTATTCTGGTTAAAATATTGCTACTGAAAGCCAAACTAGTGGACAGAACTCCCAAATGAAAACAAGCAAATGAGCATGACGTCACCACGCCGCTGTCTGTGTAACTAACCCCCCCCCTTCCTCAGGAGGGGGAAAGGGGAGCCGTAGACCCTCATGCCGGCTATCCAAACCCCTAGTAATATGGCTGATATGAACTGGCAAAGTTCACACGAGCCTCTGGCTCCTATGTTTTTCCAGTTCTGTGCCTTGTGGTGTGCTCTTGTCTACTAGGTGGTGGGCGAGCCACCTGGTGTGTGCCACCTGGTGTGCACCACCTAGGTGGTGCGGGAGCGTTTGGAATTCACACACCCTTAGACGGCTTCCTCACTTGTAGTTGTCTTTGCCCTTGTAGTAGGCTGGGGGGTCTTGGGCTGTCTGTCTTGCCCCGGGTTTGGGGGGGGTGTTGTTGCTGGTGGGGTGCACTGCAACTGGTGCAGCCTGCATTACTATCATGAGGCAGCCACTGTTTCTCTCTGGCTGCTTTTTTGCTAGTTGTGAGATTTCAGGGGATTTCTTGGTTTTCATTCTGGCATTTTTGCCTGTTGTTGCAGAGGTGGTCTGCTTAGCTTCCTATTAGGCTTGCCTAGGTTTGGGTGGTGGTCCTCCTCTGCTGTTCCCAAGGTTTTGCAACTGCTATTTGTGGCTACTTGTGATATTAATTGGAGTGGAATGCTCAGCTCAGTTGCACATTCTCGCAGCACCCAAGGTGAAACTCCATCAGATCCAAATGCTTTATTTCTTCCTAGCCCCATGAGTTATTTTTCCTCTTCGTCATAAGATACCTCTATGTATTCTATGGCGATCTGGAATTGATATTTGATCTAGCTTTCTGAAATCCTCATTTTGTTCAAACACACTTTGGAGCTGTTCATTCACACATTTCTTTTTTATTCTCATTAGTCCTCTTCCCTGTTCTCAATTGCTGGATTTTATCCTTTACATGAAACTTGCTTTTAATGAATTTATAGAAAAGGTCTGGATCTGTTTTACATTTGTTCACTACTGTATACCTTTCTCAAAGTTCCTTTCTGCTTCTCTTCTCACTGCTGTGTAATTGTTTCTTGCTTGCTTGTAGTGCTGGTATGTTTGCGGGTTAGGCCTCTTCCAATATTGAACCCATTTTCTCATCTTTTTCTCTCTGGCCCCCTCTAAATTTCTGTTGAACCAATTCTGTTTTCTGGTCCTGCATCCCTGTTTTGTTATGAATGTTTGTGTCTTCATCTTATATTTTGCAAAATTTGGCATACATCTCATTTACTTCCTTGCCTATCAACAAGCCTGTCCACTTAAACTCATTAACCACTGCACTGCTCTGCATTCAAATATGACACATCCGTGGTGCGCCGAAAATAAATCCTTTCCCAAGAAATTATTTTCTCTAATAACAGTGTTAAAATACAGTCTCTGTTTGTGGGAAACTAAAAAAAAATATTGTGTGTGACATACTTTAGCTGTGATGGAGCTGGGAAGTTGAGCATATTATGGGCGCTGAGCGATGGAGTGCTCAAGGTCATTAGGCCCCGCCACCCCCTGAGGTGTCAGTTGCCGCAAATATAATGTTTCAAAATTATTTCGATGTTTCTTATTTGTTTCTTCTCTATTTTTATGCTGCAATATTAATCAAAAGTGTGTCATTTGTGGAATTTATATAGTTCAATGTGTTCAGAACATCACTATGCTCAAAATTATGGCGCTCATATATGTGACATGTATATTATATTCTACGATCAATCAAACAGTGTTTTTGCTGTTATTATACTATATAAACACATTGTATATACCTATCTACATATGTGTTCACCATAGCAAACCACTAAATTCGTAATGGTGAGCCAAAAAACAAGAGTGGGTTACCACACCCAGCCAGCCCTCCCTCACTCACTCCTTCAACACTAACTTGCCAACATTCAAAAGGTGACACCCCTAGTGTCAACAACTGCATCAGAGGAGCTCCAGCATATTTCAACAATCCTAAGTATTGTAGTACAGGTTGATTATAGTGAGTGATGTCCCTGGGAACATAAACGTATAGTGCTTTTGAAAAATAGGTGAGATAACAGGAATGTGCCAAGGGATGTGAAAAAATTGGATGAGAAAAAGTTGCCCTAGTGTTTCCAGTGCAGAGAAGAACATTCAAGATGGCCGCTGGCAAGAGGAAAAACAAAACAGGGCTTGATTTTGGGGGATTCAATGAAGAAAGCATTGATATAAGCAGTCTACACAACAAGTTGGCAAAATTAGGTACTATAGTGAACTCTCATGTAGAAATAATCAGTAAATTGAAAGAAAGTAATGACCATTTGTGTAACAAAGTTTTATGTCTTGAGGGTTTAGTGAAAGACTTGTGCAGAATCCTCACTAGTGAGTCCCATTCCTCAACGGCTTTTTTAATCAGAAGCCTGATTACCTGCTCGTCCTACTAGTAGGGCGAGCAGGTAAAGTAGTTGCAGAGGCAACACTGTTGTCAGTGTCGTTGTGAAGGGATACATGGCGGCGCTTGGCAGAGCGACCTGCTGAGACAGCAGATCTGCGCCTGGTAACACCGCGACGACGGCAGCTGCTAGCCCTTGCCTCATCTATGCTACTTGTATCAGAAGCAGCGTCACTAAACCCAGAAAATGACTCAATAGTATCACTTTCATCAAAAATGGGAGATGGAGGTGGTGGTGGTGGTGATGGTGGGGATAATACTGGCAAGGGTGATGACCTGTGACGCTTCACTGTGGGTGCAGCTCGCCCTGAACGATACGCACTCACTGTATCGTCTTCATCTGTATCTGTTTCACTTCCACTGGATCCTTGTGTTATGTCTATCGACCCCAACTCCCTCCCCCGATTTAATTTTCCTCGTTTTCTGTTAAGTCACTCAGAATTTTAGGATGAAGATTTCAGCTTCAATTTGCTATACACAAGTTTTAAATATCAGGAATTTCTTTTTCAGGTTTATTAAACAATATAGATTTTATACAAAATTTTAAAATATCCTGAATTACTTTACAATTTATTTATATATTTTAGTTTTGTTTTATAAAACTAATATCAATACAGCTATAAGTTAAGTACTAATTGTAATTAAGAAGCAATAAAATTATTATCTTCAAAAACTAAGACGGTTAGGTGAGGTTGTGGTTTTCTATTCAGTTTTTCAGGTAAACTCAAATATTCACAATATATTTGACAGTACGATTTAATACTAAGTGAAAATAAGTACAATTCCTAACTGCTGTGAATAGTACATAATTGCACTTATTTGTCTTCTTACATTTACCACCCCATTTTTGGAGGACGGGCTGATCGACCCTTGGGTCATCAATATAATATTCCACTTCATCTTCAAACAATAAACTGTTTATCTCCCCCTGGAGAAAGCAGTTTTGCAACAGTGCGTCCCACAGGTGACTGGGAGCTGGGAGTGCGTACGTCGGCCATGGTTGCTCGATCAAAACTGAGGCTACCCTCGGGCCTGGGGCATTCTGGGACTTTTTTTTCAAAATGGCCACCACTCACTGCCGGCCTCATGCATCCATCTCGTACACAACCAACCACGCGCGCGTTCCGAATGGGTACCAAAAAAATAAAAAAGTTTTCTCGGTTGGCGCAGTTTCCCACCGACCGAGAATACTCGGCTGGCGCAGTTAAGTGGTTAATGAGGAAGGGACATCCTCTACTCTTCATCAACAACCCCTCTTACCATTTTCATTTTTACGAATAATCTCTTGTTTTCCCTCTGTCGTCATCCTCACAGCTATTTTCTTAGGTTGAACTTTACTACTGACTGTCTTGGGTCCTATGATATATATATGGCATGATATATAGTAAGAACTTTTATTTTAAAAAAGCAAAAATGCAGGGAAATTCAAATTGTACGATGTATTTGACATCGTTAACAAAAAAAATTATCCTCTAGGACAGTCGTCAACCAAGGTTCCACTGTACAGTACTGTATATAAATTCAGTGTGTGGTGGCCCATGACACCCACCTAACCTATCACTGTGAGAACTCTGTCAAATGAAACTCTGCTCTGAGCTCCACATTCTCAACATTGACCTCTGATGTCTAGATGATCGATTGTATGTATAATTGGATGGCTATAAATAGATATAAATAGGCCCATATAAGGCAGCAACTCTATATTGTTCATATAAATAGGAGCTGCCTCATATTGGCCAATAGGCCTTCAGTAGTTTATTTATTATTATGTTCAAATGATGAGTGGTTGATCTTCATTATAACCACATAGTTGTCAAAAATATATGAACATATCTGTAATTCTAATGAAATTGTACACCATAATGATTACCTAATTGGCATAGTAACATTTGCAACAATAACTACATTTGCATAGTAAGGTAATCATGAAACAATGACAGGATTTTTGGGGGGTTAATGAATTCCACTATATCCATCTAGAACTATTAAATCCATATTAGTGCCATTCATGTAAAACCCAGATAATAATATCAACGTATGATAAACGCATTACCCATGAATCAGCGTATGACAATAACCGCCCTTGAAGTTAACCATCCACACCGAAGGAGCATGGTCTATTACTGCAAAGACATGTGACTAAATGCTTCCAGAACTAAAAAAAATGAGCTTCAAGAAGAGGCTAGAGGTGTTAAATATGCCAAAGCAAGTAATTAGAAGAGACAATGATTACTACATACAAAATTATAATGGACATCAGTAAAACTGGCAAAGAAGAATTCTTGAAACCTACAACTTCAAGAATATGAGGTTATAGATTCAAGCTTAGGAAACAAAGGTACCAAAAATATTAGAAAATATTCTCTTGCAAACAGAATGGTAGACGGATAGAACAAGATAAATGAGAAGGCCATGAATGCCAAAACTGTTAGTACAGTAGTTTCTAAGTGTTGTATAACAAATAGTACTGGGAAGACTAGACAAAACAATTTGTAGCTCTCATCCTGCAACTACATTTAGATAATTACTTGAGGGCAATAGGAGTAGTTTAATGATTTAAAAAAGCATCTTTTACCTTCTATGCATGGTAGTCTAATATCCAGTCTTCTCCAGTTTTGTTCAAATCATAGTCATGTTCTCTGTTACAGAAGGTTGGGACTAGCATAGTAAGCAGTTTCCAAAAACTTAAAAAAAATTCAAGATTGATGAGGCTCAATAATATGATTTCTTACCTGTTGCAGATGGCTGGAACTGGTACAGTAAGCAGTTTCCAGAAGAAAGGAAAACCCAAAGTAGTTTCTATTCCTGGAACTCATCCTTCTATCCACAATTCCCAGCTGCTTCTCTCATGTGGAATACCATCACTGGACTATCTCATTGGGGGTGGTCTACCTGTTGGCTCAATCCTCCTCATAGAGCAAGATAGATATGACATATACAGCAAACTGTTCCTTAAATATTTCCTCGCTGAAGGGGTCATTAACAACCATATTCTTACGCTGGCCAGTCTCGATGTTTCCCCTCGAACAATTGCAGAGGACTTGCCTGCCTCAACAGACATAGAACCTGATACAACCCAAACATCTGCTGATGACAAGCAGATGACTATTGCCTGGAGATACCAAAATAAAGCCTCCCAGCCCACAACTTCTGTTGGTAACAGATTTGGTCATAATTTTGACCTGACAAAATCTATGGATGCAGAGCTCACTTCTCGGATAGATATGGCTCTCTGGGATGGCTCAGAGGCAGAAGAAGGAAGGGGAATGATAGAGAATAAAAACTACTGGTCCCTTCTAAAGCTAATTAAGAAGAGGATAGAAGTGGGTAGTCTCTCAACTTCATGTAATAAAGCAAAAACAAATGTAATGCGCTTGGCTCTCCACTCAGTAGGGTCCCCACTCTGGGGATGGGAGTTTGGTCACCAGGAGAAAGATAACCAATGGCACAGCCTTACTACCTTTTTGCTTATGCTGAGAGCACTGGTACGTACCTCTTTCTCTGTGTGTTTAGTCACAATTCCTTCCCATCTCTTCAGTGATCCTGCTCTAACTCTTCGACTGCATGCATTGGCTGACTTTGTGGTGAGGCTAGAGTCATTCCAAGGTTCAGATCATGAAACTAATCCAGTTTTCAAAGATTATCATGGCCTCTTCCATATAATCAAGTTAGCTGCCATCAATTGCCTGGTCTCCCCAATGCTGGACTCGACTGACTGGGTGTTTAAACTGAGGAAACGCAAGTTAACAATTGAACGGCTGCACCTGCCTCCGGAGTTGTCTGAGACTGTTAGTAGAAGCCAAGAAGATCCTACTGGCAGATCTGCTGGCCTTGCTTGCATGGGAAAGAACCTTCCAAGGAATCTGGAATTTTAGCCTTTATTAATAAAGTGTTTTGTCTTGAAACATGTTCAATGAGTATCCTTCATACATAAGTCTTCTTCATCTATTCTTTCTGGGGTGGGGGGGGGGGAGCTCTGTCGGCTCCCCGGAGCTATCCAGGCTGATATGTAACTATTAATTTTCTGGCATCAAAGTGCAATGAGTTTTTGCCTACCGAGAACCATGCGCCAGAACCTGGCCTCCATCTCAGAGAGGCACAAGAAGCAATGGCCTATAGAAACCCCCGTGTGGTTGGAAGTATTCTATGTCTGCCATCGACCGGGTACTGGCACCCAGAAAGGTAGGCGCCTTAAAACAAACCCCTATTCTGATGAAAACATTGCTACCAAAAGCTGAACAAGTGGACAGAACTCCCCAACGAAAATTAGCAAATGAGCATGATGTCATCACGTTGCTGCTCTGCTGTCTGCGCAACCCCCCCATACCCCCCTCCCTGGGAGGTTACCTTGAGGTTACCTTGAGGTGTTTTGGGGGCTTAGCATCCCTGCGGCCCGGTAGTTGACCAAGCGAGGGGGGGAAGGGGGAGCCCCAGACCCCCGCACCGGCGATCCAGCCAGCAGTTCTTAGACTGATGTGATACTGGCTGGTCGGGTGCATCTGGCTCCAGTTTGTGTTTTCAGTTCCTGTGCCTTGTGGCTTGTTCTGTCTATACAGGTGGTGTGAGAGCCAGGAGTAATATTCTATGGTACTCGGGGCTGCATGCACTTAGGGTTTCCTTCCCTAGGGGGACCTGACAGCTGAGTGGACAGCTCTTCGGATTCGTAGTCTTGAGGTTCCGGGTTCGATCCCTGGTGGAGGCGGAAACAGATGGGCAGAGTTTCTTTCACCCTGATGCCCCTGTTATCTAGCAGTAAATAGGTACCTGGGAGTTAGACGGCTGCTACGGGCTGCTTCCTGGGGAAGTGTAACAAAAAGGAGGCCTGGTCGAGGACCGGGCCACGGGGACACTAAGCCCTGAAATCATCTCAATATTACCTCAAGATAGGTGCACTGTTAGTACTTCCCTTAATTGAAGTATGTTTATTGAGACAAGAAATACATCTCAAAGGGATAGAGTAGCTTAGGCTATTTCTACCCCCGGCTTAAGGCCACTTTCCACAAGTCATCTTTTTTTTTTTTTTTTTTTTTTTTTTTTTTTTGAGAGATATACAAGAGTTGTTACATTCTTGTACAGCCACTAGTACGCGTAGCGTTTCGGGCAGGTCCCTGGAATACGATCCCTTGCTGTGAAGAATCGTTTTTTCATCCAAGTACACATTTTACTGTTGCGTTAAACAGAGGCTACAGTTAAGGAATTGCGCCCAGTAAATCCTCCCCGGCCAGGATACGAACCCATGACATAGCGCTTGCGGAACACCAGGCGAGTGTCTTACCACCTTGAGGCCTACCTCCGCTGTGTCTTTTACTGCTTGGTACTAGGCCGCCCTTGGAGTCAGCTGGGGTTTTTGTTGCCCCTGTTTGCCTCTGGGTAGGAAGTAGTTTTCATCACTGGTAGGGGCGTGGGGTACTGCACAGCTAGTTTTCACCTATTGTAGTGGCCGGCTCTGTTCTGCCTGGGTACGTTGTACTCTTGCTGGGTTTTCCTTTTGTTTTTGTTTTCCTGCTTGATGGGGGTGGGAGGGGGGGGCCAGCCCTTGTTTGGTTGCCCCTCTCTATACTTGGGGGGGTCTTTCTCTAGACATCTCTGTGTTCTTGGTGGTTACCCCCCTGCTTGGCCCCCCGTGAGTGGACACGTCCACTCACGGGGGGCCACAATTGATGTGTTTGTCCTGCACACCGCCCCGCCCCTCCCCCCGATCCAGTGGGCAGCGGTGGATAGGTTACAGTCACTTAGTTACTACCTACAGTTAGCAAACTGGGGATACTTGGCCAAGACTTATGGCAGCAGATCATTTTGAATGAAATATTTACACATCTCTTGAACATTTGTTATAGAATTGTTTCCGAATTCACGTATCTTTTCGCAAGCCATCACATAGTGACGGAGGGTGTGCGAATAATTTTGTTGACACAGTTTACATTTGGTCAGGTCTACATCGGCAGATAATGACAATTCCCAGAGATACTTGTAACCGAGTCTAAGCCGAGCAGTAGTAACATCTAGAAGTCTGCTGATTTTATTGGATGAACCGTAGATGTGTGGCTCCTCTTGCATGATAGTATGATGATAGATGGAATTACTGGTGTCGATTTCACTTTGCTTTAGATCTACAAGGTTTTGTTGAAGTATTTTGTGTACTATTTCTCTCAGACTTCATATTGACAATACAAGGTTATATTCACTTTCTCCTTTAAAAGGCAGATTCTTTGGCTAACTCATCAGCTCTATCATGCATTTGGAGGCCAACATGAGATGGAGACCACATGTAATGGACTCTGTTACCATCATTAATAATTTTGACCAGACCACACACTAGAAGGTGAAGGGACGACGACGAGAATGGTCCGTCCTGGACCATTCTCACAATCGACTTGAGAATGGTCCAGGACGGACCGAAACGTCGTCGTCCCTTCACCTTCTAGTGTGTGGTCTGTGGTCAACATACTTTAGCTACGTTATTGTGACTCATCGCCTGCATTAATAATTTTGTTGCAATTGTGTCTAGCTTCGGACACGAGCATGTTACAGTTATGTCTTAAAGAGTTGAGAGCAATTAAGGATGATAAAGAGTCACTTACAATTAATGTATCAAGTTTGGAGAATTGTACACATTTCAGTGCAAGGAGCAAGGCAAATAGTTCGGTCTGAAGGGTAGAGGCCCAGTTGTTTATACGGACTCCCCACTCAAGGTACAAGCCATTGTCCATTGTCAGAACAACTGCACTTCCAGCTGCACCCGTGGTGCGGTGTAAGGAACCATCAGTGTATATGATTTGAGAGAGAGAATGCTCTGTGGAGAGAGCATCAATATGGCTTAAGGCGTTGAGCTTTGCCTCAAGACGAAGCTTGGGCTGAGTTCTTAATTTGCTTCTTGGGTGGAAAGTGAGGGATTAAAATTGGAAAGGGTGTAACCTCCCACGGTGCAGGAAAGTGCCGTTGTTGTCTCTTTTGGTACACATTATAAATCTGATACATTCTGAGTTCAGTTCCAGTTTTAGCCATCCACTTGGAAAAATGTTGACCTTCAATAAAGAAATTCTGGGGGGCTTAAGTGCAAGGGTTAGGGTGAACTAGTCTAATCATTTTTATACCAATTTGACAGTTAATTTCAGTAACACGATCAACGACGCTCGGAATATTAAGTTCCTTTCTCATGTTAAGTATCTTGTGGTACGAGGGCACCCAAGGATTATCCTCAAGGTTTTGTTCTGCAATTTTTCAAGCCCTCTAAGCTTTCTTTCAGGCATCAAAGCAAGCAGAGGTTCAGCATAATCCACTAAAGATCTGATGTATGCAAGGTACATCATTTTGACAATTCAACTGAGCTGAGGTAAGACTGCTTGCAGTTTGTCACAAGATACATTCTCGTGAAATAAATAGGTTTCTAGGAGCAGGCTTCAGATGAGCTGAGGTTGGGTAACAGTTCTTGCTTGTAGTTTCATTGAAACCACATTTTCAGTTTCACGTCATCTGACAGCCTTTATGAACTCTATTCTTAGTTTAATAAGAAAAAAAAAGGAGTGAGAGAGAGAGAGAGTAGGCGGGAGGGAAGAAGGAGAAGGAGAGGGAGAGCGAGTGAGAGAGGAGAGAGAGAAAGAGAGAAGGGAGGAAGGGAGAAGTAGAGAAAGAGAGAGAGAGTGTGGGGTGCCCGTGTTGGGGGAGGGAGGAGGGAGAGGTGTATGGGTAATTACGACACAGGAGGGTTGGTGTGTGTGACGTCAGCACTAACACTCCTCTTAATCACTTACATCCGACGGTGGACAAGTACACAGATACACTGGCAAATATCAAGATATTTAGATAGGTAGATAGGCAGATATTTAGACATTCCTAGAGACAAACAAACCCACACTAACCAAGCCCTAGTCAAACCCACACTAACCAAGGCCTAGTCAAACCCCCACTAACTAAGCCCTAGTCAAACCCACATTAACCAAGCCCTAGTCAAACCCCCACTAACCAAGCCCTAGTCAAACCTCCACTAACCAAGCCCTAGTCAAACTCACACTAACCAAACCCTAGTCAAACCCCCACTAACTAAGCCCTAGTCAAACCCACACTAACCAAGCCCTAGTCAAACCCACACTAACCAAACCCTAGTCAAACCCCCACTAACTAAGCCCTAGTCAAACCCACACTAACCAAACCCTAGTCAAACCCACACTAACCAAACCCTAGTCAAACCCACACTAACCAAACCCTAGTCAAACCCCAACTAACCAAGCCCTAGTCAAACCCACACTAACCAAACCCTAGTCAAACCCCCACTAACTAAGCCCTAGTCAAACCCACACTAACCAAACCCTAGTCAAACCCACACTAACCAAACCCTAGTCAAACCCACACTAACCAAACCCTAGTCAAACCCCCACTAACTAAGCCCTAGTCAAACCCACACTAACCAAACCCTAGTCAAACCCCCACTAACTAAGCCCTAGTCAAACCCACACTAACCAAACCCTAGTCAAACCCACACTAACCAAACCCTAGTCAAACCCACACTAACCAAACCCTAGTCAAACCCACACTAACCAAACCCTAGTCAAACCCACACTAACCAAACCCTAGTCAAACCCACACTAACCAAACCCTAGTCAAACCCACACTAACCAAACCCTAGTCAAACCCCCACTAACTAAGCCCTAGTCAAACCCACACTAACCAAACCCTAGTCAAACCCACACTAACCAAACCCTAGTCAAACCCACACTAACCAAACCCTAGTCAAACCCACACTAACCAAACCCTAGTCAAACCCACACTAACCAAACCCTAGTCAAACCCACACTAACCAAACCCTAGTCAAACCCACACTAACCAAACCCTAGTCAAACCCAGATTAAGTGCACAACTGCATCTCCAGCTTGTGCACCTCTTGTGTGGTACTGTGTCAAAGGCTTTCATACATACATACATACATACATACATACATACATGCATACATACACATACATACATGTATGTATGTATGTATGTATGTATGTATGTATGTATGTATGTATGTATGTATTATGTATGTATGTATGTGTGTGTGTGTGTGAATGTTCTGTATGTTATATATGTATGGCAGTTGGCTCAGGGAGAGGATTTGTTGTTTAACGAGGGGAATGCAGTATATGCAAGGAATTTTGGAATTGGGAAGCCTTGGATAGAAGGAAAAATTAGGGAAGTCTTGGGCCGCAGGAATTTCACCGTGCAAGTGCAGAGTTTTGGCAACATTAATTGGAAAAGGCATGCAGATCAACCCATGCCAAGGTTCACTGAGAATTGTGAAGACCATTCAGGTGAGGGGGGGGGGGCAACTAGTGGTACCCATCCTTATAATGAAGGGGTAGCAGCACCTGCAGGAGACAGGGAGGCAGAGCAAGGGGCAGCAGAGGGTTATGGGGATACAGTTAACCCTATGGACTCTGCAGTGAGTAATTCAGAAATGTTTCCCAGATGTAACAGGTCGGGACTCCCAGTTAAGAAAATCAGGAAGAGTCATACGACCGCCTGATAGACTTAACCATAATGTTTCGAACAGATCCTCTTTTGTTTAATAAGCATTGTAAATAGTGTCATGTAACCTATAACCCGGTACGTCATTGTCTGTTATAAATACACGTCATGTGGATCCCACGTTTGTTTCTCTTCCCGCAGAATTATAACAATGGGCTTGTAATTGTTCAGTGATTCCTACGCAGGAAATTTTCACTCTGATTCCTGGAATATCATCTTCAAAGAATGACACTTAGTTCTGCCTTATAATTTGTCTTTATTCGAGATAATAATGAGAAAGAGCAGTGGTGCAAGAACTGTGCCCTGGGGTATAGAGCAGTGGTGCTAGGACTGTGCTCTGGGGTATAGAGCAGTGGTGCTAGGACTGTGCCCTGGGGTCCAGACCCCACTTGAACATGATCTTATTTGACTGACCGTCATTCTCTACATTCTGTTTGACATAAGTTGAAAATCCAACGCCCCACTTTACCCGTTATTCCTTTTGATCTTATTTTGTGTTCTATCACTCCATGGTCACTTTTGTCGAATGCCTTTCCAAAGACTGTGTATACAACATCTGCAATTAGCTTTTCTTCTAATGCGTCTGTGATTTTGTCATAGTGGTTGAGTAACTATGACAGACAGGATCTTCACGCTCTAAATCTATGTTGTCCTGGGTTGTGTAGATAATTGTTTTTGTAAAACTGGAAATTTGATTCCTAATCACTCTTTCAAAAACTTTTGTGTGTGACTTTAGTGCAACTGGTCTATAATTTTTTGCCAAAGCTTTACTAACCCCCCCCCCTCCTCCCTTGTGCAGACGATCTATATCTGCAGATTTAAGTGCTGCTGGTATCTCCCCTGTATCCAGGCTCCCTCTCCATATTACGTTGAGCGCTCGTGCTACTGGTATTTTACATTTCTCTATGAATATTGAATTCCATGAGTCGACCAGGGACTGAGTGCATGGGCATGTTGTCATTTTCTCTTTCAAAGTCGTTCGTGATAATATTCGTTATATTACCAAGGATTTCGATATCGTGCATGAAGAAGCTGTTTACTGGGGTACTGAACAGTCTCATTCTGGTCCTTCAAGATTTCACTAATTTCTCTGCCATTCTCTATAAGAAACTTCAATTGTAAGTAAAGGTACAATAGTGGGGGAGGTTTTAATTTTGCTTTTGCTTATGTGAACAAATTTTGGATTTTTTTTTTCATCTCTTGAACAGCTTTCTATTCCAATTTTATTTCTTCAGACTGGTATAATTGCTCCAGTGTCTGCTCTTTATCTCCGTCCTCTCTGTTTAGATTACGTTTTCTCTGTCGTGAAAGTCGTGCCAGCTTAAACATTTCCGTTATTTCCGCGCCCCATCCACCCAGGAGAGATACGGGCCATACAGGCACACGGACCATACAGGCACACGGACTATACAGACACATGGACCATACAGGCACACGGACCATACACGCACACGGACCATATATATACACACACACGCACCATATACGCACAAGGACCATACACACACATGCACCATACAAGCACACGGACTATACACACACACTCACGGACCATACAAACACACGGACCATACAGACACACGGACCATACAGACACACGGACCATACAGACACACGAACCGTACAGACACAGACCATACAGACACACGGACCATACAGACACACGAACCGTACAGACACACAGACCATACAGACACACGGACCATACAGACACACGGACCATACAGACACACGGACCATACAGACACACGGACCATACAGACACACGGACCATACAGACACACGGACCATACAGACAGACCATACAGACATATGGACCATACATAGACACACGGACCATACAGACACAGACACACGGACCATACAGACATATGGACCATACAGACTCACGGACCATACAGACAAACGGACCATACTGACACATGAATCATACAGACACACGGACCATACAGACACATGGACCATACAGACGCACGGACCATACAGACATACGGACCAGACAGACACACGGACCATACAGACACGCGAACCATACAGACATATGGACCATACAGACTCACGGACCATACAGACAAACGGACCATACTGACACATGAATCATACAGACACACGGACCATATGGACACACGGACCATACAGACACACGGACCATACAGACTCACGGACCATACAGACACACGGACCATACAGACACACGGACCATACAGACACACGGACCATACAGACACACGGACCATACAGACACACGGACCATACAGACACACGGACCATACAGACACACGGACCATACAGACACACGGACCATACAGACACACGGACCATACAGACACACGGACCATACAGACATACGGACCATACAGACATATGGGGAGAAAGTTCACTGGCAGCACAATGCCTTCCACTGAAAGGACAACCATAAATCACGCCCAGAATGACAGTCTTGGTTATGGTAGGGGGAGAGAGAGAGTGACAGAGAGTGAGAGAGAGAGTGAGAGAGAGAGAGAGAGAGAGAGAGAGTGACAGAGAGAGTGAGAGAGAGAGAGAGAGTGAGAGAGAGAGAGAGAGAGAGAGAGAGAGAGAGAGAGAGAGAGAGAGACAGAGAGAGAGAGAGAGAGAGAGAGAGAGAGAGAGAGAGAGAGAGAGAGAGAGAGAGAGAGAGAGAGACAGAGAGAGAGAGAGAGAGAGAGAGAGAGAGAGAGAGAGAGAGAGAGAGAGAGAGAGAGAGAGAGAGAGAGAGAGAGAGAGAGAGAGAGAGAGAGAGAGAGAGAGAGAGAGACAGAGAGAGAGAGAGAGAGAGAGAGAGAGAGAGAGAGAGAGAGAGAGAGAGAGAGAGAGAGAGAGAGAGAGAGAGAGAGAGAGAGAGAGAGAGAGAGAGAGAGAGAGAGAGAGAGAGAGAGAGAGAGAGAGAGAGAGAGAGAGAGAGAGAGAGAGAGAGAGACAGAGAGAGAGAGAGACAGAGAGAGAGAGAGAGAGAGAGAGAGAGAGAGAGAGAGAGGGAGAGAGACAGAGAGAGAGAGAGAGTCAACAGTATAATATCTCTGGCAATAATGTTAAGAGGGGCCACAAGATGCAGTAGTCAGTATAAGGTCCACCATATAATGGGGTGAGGGTCCGGGAGGGGTGTGATCACCGCAGCCTAGCGTGGCCTCGCCTCGGATAACATGTTAATGATGGCGGCTGTGAGCTATCATCCCCTGATGTTTTTGTCCATGTTGGGAGCGGAAAAGAGGTTTTTCTGTGATCTCAGACCCCAAGAAACTATGTTGATCTGTACTCCGCCATGCTGCCGTCCGCCTGGCGGACGTATGACATCCTTCACTCTCTATACGCTCTCCTGCTACGAAATTAATATGCTGTCATGAGTTTGAGTTTTCTGAGACGGTCTTTTTTGTTATAGTTGCGTTTGGTGAATTAGAATCGATTACATAGAGAAATCGAATCTGAAACATCGATGAGATTTCGTACGACAGGTTTTCTTTACGTCCGCGGCAGCGATGGATTGGATGCCCTGCAGCGACTGGACCATTCAGTCTGGCGGTGGACAGTGTGTGGGGTGGTGTTACTACCTTCCTTCCCGCTGCCACGCTCTCTATATCACTTTAACACAAACATATAACTTTTCTCGCTCGGATCTATCATTCAACTCGTAAACTGTAGTGTCCGCGCGTCGGAAGGGGGTCCAGGAGCTGAGTCCCGACTCTGTCCACGGTAAAAAACCCCTCCAATAAACATATATAAAAAGGTAGGTTAATTTGTTTCAAGTCATTTGTAGGCCTTGGCCAGTGGTCTATAATATATAGGTTCTAAATATATAACAATTTATATGTATAACAATATTTGTTGATCTATGTTGATGTTAAAGATGATGTAATGATACTTATTGAACTGTTGATTGATTGTGGTAGTTATATATGGTCATGGTGAGCGACGATGGTAGTGATGGTGAGTGATGGTGAGCGATGGTGGTAGTGATGGTGAGTGATGGTGAGCGATGGTGGTAGTGATGGTGAGCGATGGTGGTAGTGATGGTGAGTGATGGTGAGCGATGGTGGTAGTGATGGTGAGCGATGGTGGTAGTGATGGTGAGCGATGGTGGTAGTAATGGTGAGCGATGGTGGTAGTTATGGTGAGCGATGGTGGTAGTGATGGTGGTAGTGATGGTGACGATGGTGGTAGTGATGGTGGTAGTTATGGTGAGTGATGGTGGTAGTTATGGTGAGCGATGGTGGTAGTTATGGTGAGTGATGGTGGTAGTTATGGTGAGTGATGGTGGTAGTTATGGTGAGTGATGGTGGTAGTTATGATGAGCGATGGTGGTAGTGATGGTGAACGATGGTGGTAGTTATGGTGAGTGATGGTGAGCGATGGTGGTAGTGATGGTGAGCGATGGTGGTAGTTATGGTGAGCGATGGTGGTAGTTATGGTGAGCGATGGTGGTAGTTATGATGAGCGATGGTGGTAGTTATGGTGAGCGATGGTGGTAGTTATGATGAGCGATGGTGGTAGTTATGATGAGCGATGGTGGTAGTTATGATGAGTTATGATGAGCGATGGTGGTAGTTATGATGAGTTATGATGAGCGATGGTGGTAGTTATGATGAGCGATGGTGGTATTGATGGTGAGCGATGGTGGTATTGATGGTGAGCGATGGAGGTAGTTATGGTGAGTTATGATGAGCGATGGTGGTAGTTATGGTGAGCGATGGTGATAGTAAAGGTGAACGATAGTGGTAGTAATGGTGGTGATAGTGATGGTAAGTGGTTATGCATGATGGTGGTAGTGATCTCCAATGATCTTACCTCGCGTTGGTAGCGAGGATCAATGTCCCCGCGGCCCGGTCTCCGTCTAGGCCTCCTGGTTGAACCCTTCCTCGCCAGCGTTCATAACGTCACTAAGCTGATGTACTAAATTGCCTGACCCTAACCTAACCCAGGATCCACCAATAGAAAACGGACCATCGCGTCACCTCTGCCACCCGCTATGATTTTGGGCTGATAAGTTTTGGTGTTACGGGGATTACTGGGTCAAGTGTCTGTGTACTGTGTGAGAGGTCGAGATGCCTCGCTGTGTGGTCAAGCAGACTGTTGTGGCTGCTGACGGCCCCATGTCTGCTGGAGAGGCTGTTGTAGCTGCTGACGGCCCCATGTCTGCTGGAGCAGGCTGTTGTGGCTGCTGACGGCCCCATGTCTGCTGGAGCAGGCTGTTGTAGCTGCTGACGGCCCCATGTCTGCTGGAGCAGGCTGTTGTAGCTGCTGACGGCCCCATGTCTGCTGGAGCAGGCTGTTGTAGCTGCTGACGGCCCCATGTCTGCTGGAGCAGGCTGTTGTAGCTGCTGACGGCCCCATGTCTGCTGGAGCAGGCTGTTGTAGCTGCTGACGGCCCCATGTCTGCTGGAGCAGGCTGTTGTAGCTGCTCATGTCTGCTGGAGCAGGCTGTTGTAGCTGCTAGCCTCATGTCTGCTGGAGCAGGCTGTTGTAGCTGCTGACAGCCTCATGTCTGCGAGCAGGCTGTTGTAGCTGCTGACGGCCTCATGTCTGCTGGAGCAGGCTGTGTAGCTGCTGACGGCCCCATGTCTGCTGGAGCAGGCTGTTGTGGCTGCTGACGGCCCCATGTCTGCTGGAGCAGGCTGTTGTAGCTGCTGACGGCCTCATGTCTGCTGGAGAGGCTGTTGTAGCTGCTGACGGCCTCATGTCTGCTGGAGCAGGCTGTTGTAGCTGCTGACGGCCTCATGTCTGCTGGAGCAGGCTGTTGTAGCTTCTGACGGCCTCATGTCTGCTGGAGCAGGCTGTTGTAGCTGCTCACATCCTCATGTCTACTGGAGCAGACTGTTAGATGTAGTTACAGCCTCGTGTCTGCTGGCTCAGGCTTGATGTTGATAGTATTGTCTCAGTATATCTATTGCACGTCTGCTGTAAGTGGTTAAGGGCAGAAAAATAACTTTGCACATTCTCCAGATCTGAAATATCTCCAGCTTTGAATGGGTGTGTTATTGTTGAGCAATATTGCACCCCCCTAGAGAGCGCCAGTGCCCTCAACAGTATCACCATTGATCTAGCATCTCTTCTTTCAAAGATCCTTCTTATCCAACTTCTATTTTTTTCCTTGCACCCGTGACAGCTGCTCTATTGCGTTCTTTAAAGCGAAGGTCTTCCGACAGAATTACTCACAAATCTCTTATATTGCTTTTCCGTTCTATAGTGGGATTTAACTGGGTTTCATATGTGGTTTCCGGTTTTATATTTTCGTTTTTTTCCCCTAGGCGCAGGAACTGGTAGTCTATATTATTATATGTGGCTCATTGATAGACCTGATTTACGTCAGAGGAGGATGGCTGTGTCCTCTATGTTGTCTGTGTTCTTGGAAGGTCTAGTATCGTGGTGGTTGTGGTGAGCGATGGTGGTGGTAGTGGTGAGCGATGGTGGTAGTAGTGGTGAGCCATGGTGGTAGTAGTGGTGGGCGATGGTGGTTTGACTATATAGTGGCCTTCATGGTAGGTCTCTCCTTATGGTGGCAGTCATGGCCAGCGATGGTTGAACACTGGGGAAGTGACCATCAATGGCCGCGGAGGATTGACTAGGCGCCAATCCTTCACTTTAGCCTCTGTTCACCCAGCAGTGAACGGATACCTGGTTATTATACCATTTGGCGGGTCGTATTCCGGTGCTAGTGGCTGTACAACAATGTAAGAACTCTTGTATATATAAATAATAATAATAATAATAAAAATGTCTACATATATACTCCAAGTTATGATATAATTTTTACATTATTTTCAAAAGCGTATAATATGTTAATCTTTGACAAATAATGGTGTCCAAAATCAGAACAGTGTTAAAATGACTTGTTAATATCGTGCTTAAGGCTTCGCAAACACCAACACAAATTTAACCTACAATTTGAGTTGATGCTAAATTGCATAATGGTAGAGGAGCGCGGGAAAATGGCAGGCTAGCGGCGACTAATTACTTAATGGCACCACGGCAACTGCCAATTGTAATTAAGATTGACTGAAGCGCAGTGACGCAACAGCTAATTCGACACTGTTTATTTCTGATGCTTTTGTGGCCGTAGAGTTCTGTAGTGTCTAGACAAAACAATACTTTAAGTTCAAAACAATGCCTAAACAAGTTCAAAACAGAACCAACACCTCGTGCAGACAAGAAAGTGCTAACACAATGTGTACTATAGACAATAAAGTGGCAGCAGAGATGTTCAAAACAATACCTTAAGTTCAAAACAATACCTCAAGTTCAAAACAATACCTTAAGAAGTTCAAAACAATACCTTAAGAAGTTCAAAACAATACCTTAAGTTCAAAGCAATACCTAAGTTCAAAACACTGCCTTTAGTTCAAAACAATGCCTTAAGTTCAAAGCAATACCTAAGTTCAAAACAACACCTTAAGTTCAAAACAATACCATAAGAAGTTCAAAACAATACCTTAAGAAGTTCAAAACAATACCTTAAGAAGTTCAAAACAATACCTTAAGAAGTTCAAAACAATACCTTAAGTTTAAAGCACTACCTTAAGTTCAAAACAATACCTTAACTTCAAAGCAATACCATAAGAAGTTCAAAACAATATCTTAAGTTCAAAACAATACCTTAAGAAGTTCAAAACAATACCTTAAGAAGTTCAAAACAATACCTTAAGAAGTTCAAAACAATACCTAAGAAGTTCAAAACAATACCTTAAGAAGTTCAAAACAATACCTTAAGAAGTTCAAAACAATACCTTAAGTTCAAAGCACTACCTTAAGTTCAAAACACTGCCTTAACTTCAAAACAATACCTTAAGAAGTTCAAAACAATACCCTAAGAAGTTCAAAACAATACCTTAAGAAGTTCAAAACAATACCTTAAGAAGTTCAAAACAATTCCTTAAGTTCAAAACAATACCTTAACTTCAAAACAATACCTTAACTTCAAAACAATACCTTAACTTCAAAACAATACCTTAACTTCAAAACAATACCTTAACTTCAAAACAATACCTTAACTTCAAAACGATGCCTTAGGTACAAAACAATACCTTAAGTTCAAAACAATACGTTAAAAGTTCAATCCTCTACAATAGCCTTAACATTAAAGCACTACCTTAACTGTTAAACAATGTATTTAACTTGTAATACAATACCATAACTTTGGAATTATCTTAGACACTTAGGATAACATGAAGACAACCTGCATCCTGAGGTACATGTATCGTGAAAACATACCTTATAGTTTAAAGCACTACCGTGTGAGAACATTTCAGAAAACAACGTACCATAACATTTACAAAACCCAATACGTTAACTTCAAAACAACGTGTTATAACATTTACAAAACGATGCAAACTTAGGTACAAAACAATACCTTAAGTTCAAAACAATACCTTAAGTTTAAACACTACCTTAACTTCAAAACAATACCTTAACTTCAAAACAATACCTTAACTTCAAAACAATACCTTAACTTCAAAACGATGCCTTAGGTACAAAACAATACCTTAAGTTAAAAAATATACGTTAAAATTTTAATCTTCTACAAATACCAATGACATTATAACAGACATTATTGTTAAGGAATGTATTTAATGGGTTGTATGATAGTATAGTCAGCTCTTGCTGGAATTATCTTAGACACTTAGAGATAACATGAGAGATAACCTGCATCAATGAGGTAACATGTTATCGTGAGAACATTTATAGAAACCCACAAACGTGTGAGAACATTTACAGAAACCCACAAACGTGTTATAACATTTACAGAAACCCACAAACGTATGAGAACATTACAGAAACCCACAAACGTATGAGAACATTTACAGAAACCCACAAACGTATGAGAACATTTACAGAAACCCACAAACGTGTGAGAACATTTACAGAAACCCACAAACGTGTGAGAACATTTACAGAAACCCACAAACGTATGAGAACATTTACAGAAACCCACAAACGTGTGAGAACATTTACAGAAACCCACAAACGTATGAGAACATTTACAGAAACCCACAAACGTGTGAGAACATTTACAGAAACCCACAAACGTATGAGAACATTTACAGAAACCCACAAACGTGTTATAACATTTACTGAAATTCACAAATATTTGTGCACTTCAAACCAAAGTTATTACAAATCTAAATTTAGAAAGCTGCAGTGTGTACTGAAGCCATTAGTAGTCTTTGTAATGTTTGTATGAAGCAATGAAGAGCAGTTGAGTTTGGTGGTGTTGTGAAGTGGTGGCGGCAAGGTGCGGGGGCGTGTTGATGTTGGGCATTAGGGACAACAATAGATGTGACCAATGTACTGAAATGGAGAATAATATGCATATATTTTAGTTTTGTAAGCAAAAAATTGTTATTATAAACTGGATTAAAGACACTCTTAAAGCATTATGTGGATCAAGAATTAGAGGTTTGGCTCTATTTGTCAGCCTCTGGAATTAAGAGGCTGTAATGAGGTTTTTATGTTTAATATTGACATAAAATGCAGGAAAATTAAGAATACAATAAGTAGCGACTATCAGATTACATTTGTTGTGTGGCTAGGCAGGCATTTGTTGTGTGGCTAGGCAGACATTTGTTGTGTGGCTAGGCAGACATTTGTTGTGTGGCTAGGCAGACATTTGTTGTATGGCTAGGCAGGTTTGTCTCAGCAGACAAAATATTGAAGTGTTAGCAAGACAGGATCAAGTATAACATGTTTGCCTTAAGACTCGTGCTCTGTGAGGATATGAAACATGGCTTTACTGAGAATTATATCACCTATATGTAATATCGTATTTCCTTCGTAAATGAATGTATGTATGGCATACTGTACATGATTTACTAAAGATAAAAAGAGAGTATGTGGGAGGTACTGCGACTCAGAGATCAGGTTACCCCCAGACTAGCCTGGCGCCCGGCCTGCCTCCCATACTACACCCCAGACGATCCTGGCGCCCGGCCTGCCTCCCATACTACACCCCAGACGATCCTGGCGCCCGGCCTGCCTCCCATACTACACCCCAGACGATCCTGGCGCCCGGCCTGCCTCCCATACTACACCCCAGACGATCCTGGCGCCCGGCCTGCCTCCCATACTACACCCCAGACGATCCTGGCGCCCGGCCTGCCTCCCATACTACACCCCAGACGATCCTGGCGCCCGGCCTGCCTCCCATACTACACCCCAGACGACAGACGATCCTGGCGCCCGGCCTGCCTCCCATACTACACCCCAGACTAGCCTGGCGCCCGGCCTGCCTCCATACTACACCCCAGACGATCCTGGCGCCCGGCCTGCCTCCCATACTACACCCCAGACGATCCTGGCGCCCGGCCTGCCTCCCATACTACACCCCAGACGATCCTGGCGCCCGGCCTGCCTCCCATACTACACCCCAGACGATCCTGGCGCCCGGCCTGCCTCCCATACTACACCCCAGACGAGCCTGGCGCCCGGCCTGCCTCCCATACTACACCCCAGACGAGCCTGGCGCCCGGCCTGCCTCCCATACTACACCCCAGACTAGCCTGGCGCCCAGCCTGCCTCCCATACTACATCGTCGTCAGGGCGCCAGCGGGGTCGTCGTCAGGGCGCCAGCGGGGTCGTCGTCAGGGCGCCAGCGGGGTGGTCGTCAAGGCTCAGCGGGGTCGTCGTCAAGGCGCCAGCGGGGTCGTCGTCAGGGCGCCAGCGGGGTCGTCGTCAGGGCGGGAGATGAGCCAGTGATCGTAGTGGTGCCGCCCAGCTGGTGAGGTGTCCCCCGCCGCCCGCCACCACTTGGGCGACCAGTATGACGCGGCCCTCCACACTACTAGCTACGCTCTTCTTGCTTCTTCCCATTTAAGTCTCGTGTTGTTCACAGCGTTTGTTCACCTGGAGGTTAGGAGGCCTGGTTGAGGACCGGGCCGCGGGGACGCTAATCCCCGAAATCATCGCAAGGTAACCTGTTCTTCATATAGTCTGCTCAATTGTTGTTCACCTGATCATCAAGTTTTTTGATGTGTTACTTGATGAGTTTGTTCACTTTTTTTATCTTGTTCACATATTAATTTATTTTGTTCGCTGTTCAAGTTTATTCAGTGTTGTTTACTTAATTTGTTCACCTTTTCTCTCCTGCTGCTCATCTTGTTTGATCACCTGTTAGTCACCTGTTCTTCACCTAGTTTGTTCACCTAATTTTCCAAGATCTAAGCCTCCATCCTCCACCCCACCTCCCTCCAAACCCCTGGTAACTACCCCACAGGAGGATGCTCCTACCCAAGTAACCCTGCCCTTGGAAAGGCTTCCTACACCAGTGGGGAGGGAGGGTGAAAATGGATATAGGAAAGTGAGCTTTATGGTAATGTACTCAAACATCGATTGGATTACTAATAAAGCAAGTGAACTGGTGGAAAGGGCATAGGAAGATAACCCAGATGTAATAGGACTCACAGAAACAAAATTGGCAGGTATCATAACAAATGCAATGTTTCCACAGGACTATTATATAGTATGAAAATAGGGAAGAGAGAGGAGGAGGAGGAGTGTCCCTGCTGATAAGGAAGGAGTGGAGCTTTGAAGAGTTGGAAATTCTGGGCTGTGAACAATTCACAGACTACATAACGGGAACTATGACTATGGGTGGACCTCTGAGGCTACATAACAGGAACTATGACTATGGGTGGAACTAAGGTAATAGTTGCAGTCATTTACAACCCTCCACTAAATGACAGAAGACCCAGACAGGCATTCAATAGGAACAACATGGCAGCCATTAATATAATGGAGAGTGCCTGCTGGAATGGATCCAGACTCTTAATCATGAGCGACTTCAACCATGGAAAAATAGACTGGGAGAATGGGGAACCACAGGGAGGTGCATGCAGATACATGGAGAGCTAAACTCTTGGAAGTGGTAACAAGAAACTTTCTGAGCCAACATGTCAGGGAACCCACAAGAATGAGAGGCAATGACGAACCAGCTAAACTCGACCTGATGAGTCAGAAATAACTACCTTGAATGAGTCAGAAATAACGGAAGTCAAATTTAAAGCCCCCAAGAGACTGAGTGACCACAGTGTATTGACATTTGACTATCTGGTGGAGGTAGAGATAACCTATCCAAGGATGGGCTCGGAAAGGAAAAGACTAAATTACCGAAGGGGAAAATATGACGAGATGAGGAACTTCCAAATGGTAATCCCATGGGAAGCAGAACTCAGAGAAAAGACTGTACAGGATATGATGGACTATGTCACCCACAAGTGCCAGGAAGCTGCAGACACGTTTATTTTGGCCCAAAAGGAGAACAATGAAAAGCAACAGAAGAATCCATGGTTCAATCAGGAATGTAAGGTAGCGAAGCAGTTGAGTACAAGGAAATGGAGAACCTACAGAAATAACAGAACACCAGAGAGCAGGGGAAAAGATACCAGAGTGGTTCGTATCCTGGCGGGGAGGATTTACTGGGCGCAAATCCTTAACTGTAGCCTGTGTTTAATTCAACAGTAAAATGAGTACTTGGTTGTAACAACGATTCTTCACGGCGGGGATCGTATTCCAGGGACCTGCCCGAAACGCTACGCGTACTAGTGGCTGTACAAGAATGTAACAACTCTTGTATATATCTCAAAAAAAATATAATATCATATTACCTAATGCATAGAGCATTGTATGGGTACACTGCCTTCCCTGGATACGGTGGTGTCGATGTGTGCTGTCTAACGTTGCAACCCGCTCTCGCACAAGACAGTACATATATGACTTATTGCTTACATTCACTATTTGGCTTATTAATAAGTACATATGTGGTATATTCCAAGTTATATTTTGTTTTCAAGGTACAAACTCTTAGTATAGATTTGCTCTACACCAGTTTTAATATTAGGAATTTCTTTTTCAGTTTTAGTAAACAATAGAGATTTTATTCAAAATTTGACACTATCCTGAGTTACTTTACAATTTATTTAAATATTTTAGTTTTGTTTTATTATTTTTATAAAACTGTAATATCAATATAGGTATAGGTTAAGTACTGATTGTAATTAAAAAGCAATAAGATGCTTATCTTAACATACTAAGAAGGTTAGGTTAGGTCGGTGTTTTCTATTCATCTTTTCAAGGCAAACTCAAATATTCACAATAAATTTTTATGTCACATATGTACTTATTACTAAGCCAAATATTGACTATAAGCAAGTGCGAGAACGGGTTGTAACGTCTCAAGAATATGTTGTAACTCAAATACTGGAGATGTCAACACGACAAGTTTTACCTGCCGGGTTGAAAATGGCTGCTCTCTCTCCCTCCAGCACCACCCGCGTATTCTCTAGATGCGTTTTTATCATGAGGTGCAAAGAGGGTTTTTATTTAATTTGTTTTCGTACTGATAATTAAGTTCGTTCCAGGTAAATGTTTTTATAATGTTTATAGTTCAGAGACTGATGTTTTAAGAAGAATTTACAATATTATTAGCTTAATTTTGGTCACGTGGCAATGACATCCTGGTTTTCTTCCAGGGAAAAACTCCACAATGCTAATTTTCTTTTAATAATTAATAAAATACATTGGGTTAATTTGTTAGTAGAAAATCAGTAGCAATATTACCTGCATATTGCAGTAAAAATTAGTAAATGGTGTCGATTTTTCCGACAATATCTATGACCCCCTTGTTCTGCTGTTCCTTACTCTGAACAATGCTGCTTTGTCTACTTTGTTAATTTCTCTCAAAATGTTATATGTCATAATGTCATCCTTATGTCTCCTTTCCTCTATTGTGGTAATGTCCAGTTCTCGCAGTCTTTCCTCATAGCTCAGTCCCCTCAGCTCTGGAACGAATCTGGTTGCATATCTTTGGACCTTTTCTAATTTCTCCTTGTCCATTTTCAGGTAAGGGCTCCATGCTGGGGACGCATATTCAAGAGTGGGTCTGACCTTCCCTGTATACAGGGCCTGGAGAGACCCTCTGTCCAAGTTCCTGAAGGAGGCACAGATGATGGTAAGTATGCCATGTGTAGGTGTTGTTACTCTGCTGATGTGGGCGTCTGGCGTCACTGGGGTTATGTCCACTCACAGGTCTTTCTCCTTTTCTCATTAGAGAAGTTGTCTTCCATTATTCCTATAATGGTGTGTGTGTGTGTGTGTGTGTGTGTGTGTGTGTGTGTGTGTGTGTGTGTGTGTGTGTGTGTGTGTGTGGGCGCGTGCGTGTGGGCGTGTGTAAGATAACGAGGTGAGGAGATGGTGTCCGTGCCACAAGTGTAGCCAATTACGACAAGTGTGTGAGAGTGAGGATAATCAGCAGCATCTCGGCACTTTCTTCCACTCTTGTCTCCACCTGCATCACCCTGGCTCTCTGGCAACACTTCTCTCCCTTCTCACCCAGTTGAAGATAACTCCCCCCCCCCCCACCACCACTATTTCCTTTCCCCCCTACTCTCTGCCCCCTCCTCCCTTACCCACTTTCCCTCCACCGTCACACTTGGGGATTAGGACGGTGTATGGAGGTGTCTGGGGGACCATTAATCCCCAGGTAGACCTCCACAGTCATCCTTCCTCTCGCCTTCAGCTCTCTCTCTATTGGGGCTCTCTCTCCCTCCCTCCCTGCTGGTGTCTGTGTTGTCTCCCTCCCTCCCTGCTGGTGTGTGTTGTCTACCTCCCTCCCTGCTGGTGTGTGTTGTCTCCCTCCCTCCCTGCTGGTGTCTGTGTTGTCTCCCTCCCTCCCTGCTGGTGTCTGTGTTGTCTCCCTCCCTCCCTGCTGGTGTCTGTGTTGTCTCCCTCCCTGCTGGTGTCTGTGTTGTCTCCCTCCCTCCCTGCTGGTGTCTATGTTGTCTCCCTCCCTCCCTGCTGGTGTCTGTGTTGTCTCCCTCCCTCCCTGCTGGTGTCTGTGTTGTCTCCCTCCCTCCCTGCTGGTGTCTGTGTTGTCTCCCTCCCTCCCTGCTGGTGTCTGTGTTGTCTCCCTCCCTCCCTGCTGGTGTCTGTGTTGTCTCCCTCCCTCCCTGCTGGTGTCTGTGTTGTCTCCCTCCCTCCCTGCTGGTGTCTGTGTTGTCTCCCTCCCTCCCTGTTGGTGTCTGTGTTGTCTCCGTCCCTCCCTGCTGGTGTCTGTGTTGTCTCCCTCCCTGCTGGTGTCTGTGTTGTCTCCCTCCCTCCCTGCTGGTGTCTGTGTTGTCTCCCTCCCTCCCTGCTGGTGTCTGTGTTGTCTCCCTCCCTCCCTGCTGGTGTCTGTGTTGTCTCCCTCCCTCCCTGTTGGTGTCTGTGTTGTCTCCCTCCCTCCCTGCTGGTGTCTGTGTTGTCTCCCTCCCTCCCTGCTGGTGTCTGTGTTGTCTCCCTCCCTGCTGGTGTCTGTGTTGTCTCCCTCCCTCCCTGCTGGTGTCTGTGTTGTCTCCCTCCCTCCCTGATGGTGTCTGTGTTGTCTCCCTCCCTGCTGGTGTCTGTGTTGTCTCCCTCCCTCCCTGCTGGTGTCTGTGTTGTCTCCCTCCCTGCTGGTGTCTGTGTTGTCTCCCTCCCTGCTGGTGTCTGTGTTGTCTCCCTCCCTGCTGGTGTCTGTGTTGTCTCCCTCCCTGTTGGTGTCTGTCTTGTCTCCCTCCCTGCTGGTGTCTGTGTTGTCTCCCTCCCTGCTGGTGTCTGTGTTGTCTCCCTCCCTCCCTGCTGGTGTCTGTGTTGTCTCCCTCCTTCCCTGCTGGTGTCTGTGTTGTCTCCCTCCCTCCCTGCTGGTGTCTGTGTTGTCTCCCTCCCTCCCTGCTGGTGTCTGTGTTGTCTCCCTCCCTCCCTGCTGGTGTCTGTGTTGTCTCCCTCCCTGCTGGTGTCTGTGTTGTCTCCCTCCCTCCCTGCTGGTGTCTGTGTTGTCTCCCTCCCTCCCTGCTGGTGTCTGTGTTGTCTCCCTCCTTCCCTGCTGGTGTCTGTGTTGTCTCCCTCCCTCCCTGCTGGTGTCTGTGTTGTCTCCCTCCCTGCTGGTGTCTGTGTTGTCTCCCTCCCTCCCTGCTGGTGTCTGTGTTGTCTCCCTCCCTCCCTGCTGGTGTCTGTGTTGTCTCCCTCCCTGCTGGTGTCTGTGTTGTCTCCCTCCCTGCTGGTGTCTGTGTTGTCTCCCTCCTTCCCTGCTGGTGTCTGTGTTGTCTCCCTCCCTCCCTGCTGGTGTCTGTGTTGTCTCCCTCCCTCCCTGCTGGTGTCTGTGTTGTCTCCCTCCCTGCTGTGTCTGTGTTGTCTCCCTCCCTGCTGGTGTCTGTGTTGTCTCCCTCCTTCCCTGCTGGTGTCTGTGTTGTCTCCCTCCCTCCCTGCTGGTGTCTGTGTTGTCTCCCTCCCTCCCTACTGGTGTCTGTGTTGTCTCCCTCCCTCCCTGCTGGTGTCTGTGTTGTCTCCCTCCCTGCTGGTGTCTGTGTTGTCTCCCTCCCTGCTGGTGTCTGTGTTGTCTCCCTCCTTCCCTGCTGGTGTCTGTGTTGTCTCCCTCCCTCCCTGCTGGTGTCTGTGTTGTCTCCCTCCCTCCCTGCTGGTGTGTGTTGTCTCCCTCCCTCCCTGCTGGTGTCTGTGTTGTCTCCCTCCTTCCCTGCTGGTGTCTGTGTTGTCTCCCTCCCTCCCTGCTGGTGTCTGTGTTGTCTCCCTCCTTCCCTGCTGGTGTCTGTGTTGTCTCCCTCCCTCCCTGCTGGTGTCTGTGTTGTCTCCCTTCCTGCTGGTGTCTGTGTTGTCTCCCTCCCTCCCTGCTGGTGTCTGTGTTGTCTCCCTCCCTCCCTGCTGGTGTCTGTGTTGTCTCCCTCCCTCCCTGCTGGTGTCTGTGTTGTCTCCCTCCCTGCTGGTGTCTGTGTTGTCTCCCTCCCTGCTGGTGTCTGTGTTGTCTCCCTCCTTCCCTGCTGGTGTCTGTGTTGTCTCCCTACCTCCCTGCTGGTGTCTGTGTTGTCTCCCTCCCTCCCTGCTGGTGTCTGTGTTGTCTCCCTCCCTCCCTGCTGGTGTCTGTGTTGTCTCCCTCCCTCCCTGCTGGTGTCTGTGTTGTCTCCCTCCCTCCCTGCTGGTGTCTGTGTTGTCTCCCTCCCTGCTGGTGTCTGTGTTGTCTCCCTCCCTGCTGGTGTCTGTGTTGTCTCCCTCCCTGCTGGTGTCTGTGTTGTCTCCCTCCCTGCTGGTGTCTGTGTTGTCTCCCTCCCTGCTGGTGTCTGTGTTGTCTCCCTCCCTGCTGGTGTCTGTGTTGTCTCCCTCCCTGCTGGTGTCTGTGTTGTCTCCCTCCCTGCTGGTGTCTGTGTTGTCTCCCTCCCTGCTGGTGTCTGTGTTGTCTCCCTCCCTGCTGGTGTCTGTGTTGTCTCCCTCCCTGCTGGTGTCTGTGTTGTCTCCCTCCCTGCTAGTGTCTGTGTTGTCTCCCTCCCAGCTGGTGTCTGTGTTGTCTCCCTCCCTGCTGGTGTCTGTGTTGTCTCCCTCCCTGCTGGTGTCTGTGTTGTCTCCCTCCCTGCTGGTGTCTGTGTTGTCTCCCTCCCTGCTGGTGTGTGTTGTCTCCCTCCCTCCCTGCTGGTGTCTGTGTTGTCTCCCTCCCTCCCTGCTGGTGTGTGTTGTCTCCCTCCCTGCTCACACTCCACCACACAGCACCACTCTCCCTCCCTCCCTGGCGGCACAATCACTTGTGTTGTCCCGTCTTGAGTAGTGCTCAGTACTCACGTTCCCCTTCAGAGCAGGAGAGATTGCTGAAATAGAGGGAATACAGAGAACATATACGGCACGCATAGACGCGATAAAGCGCCTAAATTATTGGGATCGTCTCAAAGCTCTCCAAATGTACTCACTAGAAAGACGACGGGAGAGATATCAAATAATATACACGTGGAAAATACTGGAGGGGCAGGTCCCAAATCTACACAGTAAAATAACAACATACTGGAGTGAACGATATGGAAGAAAATGCAGAATAGAACCAGTGAAGAGCAGGGGTGCCATAGGCACAATCAGAGAACACTGTATGAACATCAGAGGTCCGCGGTTGTTCAACATCCTCCCAGCGAGCATAAGAAATATTGCCGGAACAACCGTTCACATCTTCAAGAGGAAACTAGCTAGTTTCCTTCAAGGAGTGCCGGACCAACCGGGCTGTGGTGGGTATGTGGGCGTGCGGGCCGTTCCAAGTAACAGCCTGGTGGACCAAACTCTCACAAGTCATGCCTGGCCTCACGTCGGGCTTGGGGAGTAGAAGAACTCCCAGAACCCCATCAAGCAGGTATATGAAAAAATATGTTGGATTTTTCTTTCTCTTGTATAACTTTCTGTTCCAATTCCATTTCCTCCGACTCATATGATGGCTTCAACGTTTGTTCTATTTCTTCGATCTCCCTGTTTAGGTTTATTTTCCTTTCTTGTGATAGTCGTTTCTGTCTAAGCATTTCCGTTATTTTTTTCCATCTCCTGTACAGTCGTTTGCGTTCTCTTTCTAGAGTGGTCCTCTTTCTGCCCCTCCTCACAGGCACGTGCTTCAAGCAGACCTTGTATGCTTCAGCTGTCAGTTGAGCTATTCCCTGTGTGGGAGTTTTGTCGCTTAAGACCGTCTCCCATTGAATGTTTGCAAGGTCTACATTTATTTTTCCCAGTCGATCCTCTTATTGTTGATATTGAAATGATAGAATACCCTTTCTCGCTTGCTGTGTCTCTTGGACCTACTATCATTATTTATGCCACTTCAATGAGCTTATGGTCTGAGTATGTAGTATCTGAGATTGTAATGTCTCTGATTAGTTGATCATTGTTTGTGGTAACCGCCTACACATGATAACCATCTACATAATTCTCAGGGGAATTGACAGGGTGGACAAAGACAAACTCTTTAGCACGGGCGGAACACAAACAAGGGGACACAGGTGGAAGCTCAGTACCTAAATGAGCCACAGAAACATTAGAAAGAACTTTTTGAGTGTCAGAGTAGTTAACAAATGGAATGCATTAGGCAATGATGCGGTGGAGGCAGACTCCATACACAGTTTCAAATGTAGATATGATAGAGCCCAGTAGGCTCAGGAACCTGTACACCAGTTGATTGACAGT